GCAGTTCTTTAAAAACACTTAATTATGCACTTTTTTTCCTTTGCATGTTTATTAAGTTTCTTATTTGCAGTGTTTTTTTTCCCTCTCAATGCCTCCTGCTGCTTTCTGTCACTGCTGTCGCCTGACGCAGCACACCTTCCCACCGGATTGTACTTGTAAATTTACTGCTCCCCCCCTCGGTCCAAACTGTGACGTCTGCGAGTCTGTGTGATCTGTGCTGTTTGGTGTCATCAAAGTGCTGATAATGGCCCACTTTGTGCTCTCATTGGTTGTTAGGTTTAACCTAACAGCTGGCTGTGATCTCCTCCACCCAGGCTGAGAGCGGTGATATTCTGCTGCGTGATAGAAAGTGTGGCAGCGAGCGGGTCGTAACCTCAGAATGGTGGCGTCTGATTTGGGAGGGGGACGTGTCTTTATCTCGCTGTCTCTCTGTTGCATTCCTGCTCTGACCCTGACAGCTTCTCGTTGCTCCGTGCCGCACTTTCACTCCTGAAGAGCAGGTGACAACCAGGAATACTTTCACTCCGTCGACAGGCCGCATACCGCTGCGACCGTAAAGTGACGACTGGACGCATTTTTAGCCGCCAGGAAGAAAAGAGGACGGTGTGGGTTCCTCTCCGTCCATCGAGGTCACCGTATTCTTTGCTGTAGCTTCGGGGCCTTTATGCTCCAGCTGCGTGACCTCCTGCTGTTATTTCTGTCCATTCTCTCACTGATAGCACACAAGGCAGACCATCATTCCCCCCCACCAGCACCACCCTCCACAGACTTCCCTGAGAGGGGTATTGTGTTCTCTGCACCGTGCAGAGGCCAACGCAGGCAGAACTAAAGCAACAGGCCTGTTTGTTTCTCCAGGGCTGCGCTGGGCGAGCCGAGCGTGGAGGCCATCAGCGCTCCCTGGGCTGATGCGTTCTGACAGTGTTGTGGTGGATCCGCTCTGCCGGACAAAAGGTACAGAGGAAACATGAAGCGTCACGCGGGGAGAGCTCTCTGACAGCCACAGCTCGGCCTCAGAGGGGAGCCTCGCCTGTGCGTTCGTGTGCTTCGCTCAATCAGTTTTGTTGCTTTAATTTTCTGGATTCAACGTTTCTGTTTTCCTGTTTGTTTGTTTTTTCTGCATATGTAGTAGTGGTAGGAAATTAACTCACTGAGATTTAAAACCTCTTTTCCAAAAGTGACCTGGCCAAGACAGGGGCAAAGAAAAAACAAACACAAAAATACTTGATTTGACTCATTTTTTTCTTATTTCAAGAATCTTTACAAGTAAAAATTTCTAACTCCATTGGCAGAAATTTTTGATTTAGTTTGAGTCAAATTTTCAGACCAACAAGACAAATAATCTTACACATTCTGAAAACAAGATTATTATTCAAATCAGTTCTTGTTTAGTAAATCAGTCTCAAAACAAGATCAAAATGATTTTTTGGCTGATATAAGATTTTAAAACTTGGTAAGATGGACAGTTTTTGCAGTGTACCGGCCTGTCGTGGTGAAGTGGGAGTTGAGCCAGAAGGCGAAGCTCTGGTCGGTCTACGTTCCTGCCCTCATCTATGGTCACAAGCTTTGGGTAGTGACCGAAAGAAAGAGAATCCAGATACAAGCGGCTGAAATGAATTTCCTTCGCAGGGTGTCTGGGCTCTCCCTTAGAGAAAGGGTGAGAAGCTCGGTCATCCGGGAGAGACTCAGAGTTGAGCCGCTGCTCCTCCACGTTGAGAGGAGCCAGTTGAGGTGACTCGGGCGTCTGGTTAGGATGCCTCCTGGACGCCTCCCTTCTGGGCATGTCCCACTGGGAGGAGGCCCAGAGGAAGATCCAGGACACGCTGGAGGGTCTATGTTTCTCAGCTGGCCTGGGAACGCCTTGGGATTCCCCCTGATGAGCTGGGCCCAGTGGCTGGGAGAGGGAAGTCTGGGTCTCTCTGCCTAGGCTGCTGCCCCCACGATTTGACCCCGGATAAGAGGAAGAAAACGGACGGATGGATTTAATATTTCTTTTAATTTTTAGTTACCATTCTTCAGTTTGTTTTTCTTACAGCCAGGACACTCAAGTCTCACACATTGACCACGAGACTCAGGCATTTCATAAAGTGCACAAACCATCCTTTGAGTATCTCACGCTAAAACATATACAATCCGTACAGGCTTTTTTCTGTTATTGGAGACTATGTTGAAAACGTGTGAAAGCACCTATCATTTTGCAGTTACTGACATCAACACAAGTGCTGCTGTAAGCCCCTTCCACTTCCCAGAACACTGAAAGCTGGTGAGTCTCACAGCTGCAGTCAGAGCATAGAGGAGACCCACTCCACTCCATGAAACCGCATGTGTTTGGGTGTTTAATTTGGGAATCTGTTCCACTTTTCTTATAAAATAATATTTATAAATTAAATAAGGAAAATAATTAAATCAGATTTTGCTACTTTCAAATGGCATTTTAAAATCATTTAGCTTAGTGTTTCAGACTTGCAAGTTTTAGCTAATCTTTTCTACGTTCAGGTTTGCTAAGTTTAGATAGCATTTTGCTAATTTTATCTAGTGTTTTGCTAAGTTTAGATAGACTTTTGCTACTTTTAACTAGTGTTTTGCTAAGTTTAGCTAGCCTTTTGCTACTTTTAACTAGTGTTTTGCTAAGTCTAGATAGCCTTTTGCTACTTTTAACTAGTGTTTTGCTAAGTTTAGCTAGCCTTTTACTACTTTTAACTAGTGTTTTGCTAAGTTTAGGTAGACTTTTGCTATTTTAACTAGTGTTTTGCTACGTTTAGAT